GTGTAGAAATGAATGGAGCTCCTGCAGTGACGTTTCTGTGTCACAGAGTGGTGTTTGGGGGGGGGGGCGGGGAGTTCAAGAACGAGACGTTCAAGACTGAGATCTACTCTCACACACCCCTTCAAAAGCATAGAACTGGTTTTAAGATCCACCTTAGGGAAGCAAAGTTGAACCAGTAGGTTAATTAGCTAAGTTTTAGATTGGTTGCATTCACACAACATGCTAAGCCTGGGTTAGGAAAATATAAGTGCTGTCTTCCCATAGCGCACCATGCCCAAACAAATAAATTATACGTGGCTTGATAGGATGATCTGCTTCACACATGTTAAGACAAAGTCGGAGTTTCCATGCCAAGCTGAACTGCACAAGCTCTAACCCCATTTAAGCCTAGCCTAGTATGTTAGATGCTAGCTAAATATAATTTAACGGGTGGGGCTGGGAGTTAAATGAAACCTCAGAGGATCTGCACAAGTCAGATCCATTAATCCATCTGGCACAAGGCTTCTTACGCTTGGGAGCGAAGGTGGTGCTTTCACCTGCAAGGTATCTGCTTTGCTGCTTGAAAAGTAAGAGGCTAGTCCTCATGGTTCTAAATCAAGCACTGATTTAAATAGAGACCAAATGGAGCTGGAGGTGTCCTTCCAGCTGAGCTTGGGGGTCTAAAATGGCTCAACATCACCCAGGGCATCAAACAGGAGCCTTTATCATACTGACAATTGGGCAGACAGCGTTCTGCCCCTTCGCCCGGCCGAGGACGCCTTTATCTGGTCTGAGGCTCTTTCAGGCGTGGGGGCTTCTCTGATGGATTCCCACAACCTCTTCAACTTGATTCTTGAATTCATCCGGTTGTCTTGGGGCACGCCAGAGTTTGAATTCTCAGCGCACTTTTGGGGCTGGGTTCAGACGACCAGTGCAGGCAGGAAAAAAGGACTGGGTTTAAACTGAGTCGCTTGGCATGCTGTGCAAATCTTCAGTCTTTTGCTAAGTTGGTTCGACGTGTTGTGGGAACCCACCGTGGGTGGGAGCAAGACCATTTACGAGGTTTCCCACCTCCCGAGGCGGAGGATCCTCAGGCCCTCGATTGACGCCTCTCCAAAGGGTTTCTGCCTTTATCCTCTGGAGCTGGCCAAAAGATCTCCAGTTAATGGATGGCTAATCAGCCTTCCCGCTAATTAATTCAGCTTCAAAGGCCCTTTCACAGTTGGCAGGCAGCAAGAAGTCAGGGCTTATTAAGTAATTTGACGCTGGGGGTTGAAGCCGCCAAAAGGGCACTTTTCATCCAACATCTCCTTTTCTTGGCCCTGAGCATTCGAAGGAAGGGCAGAAGGATCCTCAAGCGGCGACCAGGTTGGGGCGGACTTCACCTCCCATCGTCCCCAGCGCATCGATGGGAGGTGAAAGATGGTTCTGATGGGGAGCGGCAGGTTGCTGGCACCGTGGGGAGCCTTGTATCTGGGGCACGCCCAACATGGCCGGGCCCTTTCCAAAGTAGAATTAAAATTAATTTTAAAAAATGTGTTGGAAGACACTGTTGGCACTAAATTTGTGTGTGTGTGTGTTTGTGTGTGTGTGTGATAATTATTCTTCCAGGTCATTGGGGAAGATGTCTGCAAAAGGGATCTTTCATATGTGGTGCTCGTCCAATAAAGTTGTTGTAATTGCACAACCATTCTGGAGTAAAATTTTCAGCAGCATCACCAAAGAACTAAACATTTCCACCCATTTTGGTTTTCTAGGAATTGCTACAAATCCATCTGGCTCCCCTTCATTTTATTCTGGGGAATAAAAATGAAGCCGACCTTTCTTTGCCCGAAGCCCATCTCCCACTGATTTTTCTAAAATAAAATCATATTTTAAAAAGTTAAGAGTCGGGTGCAGCAAGCTGAGGATTCACACATGTTTCGGAGGTCAATATCCTTCAGGGAGAACTTCAGTCAGAAGCGGCCGGCTACTGTTACCACCACACTGATTGCGTTGGTACAAAGTGTTCACAATGTGTGAAGCAGCTGATTTCCTTTTAAACATCAGCTCTGTGTAAGAGAGCGAGTGAAGACATTGTGACTTTCAATTCTCCTTTTAGACCTACTTTCAAGGATGAACGCTGTGGGCTATGCAGCCTAGAACAGTGTTTCTCGACCTTGGCAACTTTAAGATGTGTGGACTTCAATCCCCAGAATCCCCCAGCCAGCG